TCAAGCTCCCCTTCCCCGTTGATGAGGAAGTCAAGATCCCCGAAGCGCACGTGGGCGCCCGGGACCCAGCTCACGTCATGAGAAGCCATCTCAAACCTGCGAGAAATCGAAGCGTGACGTGTAAGCCCCTACCTGGCACGCCAACTGTCGGTGTTTCGTATCGTGACCAACGAGTAAATCGTAAAGCGCGTCACTAGGCTGAGATGGTGCACAATGAGACACGAGGGTTATACTGGTTCAGGCACTAAGTCCCTACGTCCAGTTCGAGCCGTGAGCTCGTGTTCACTATGCTGAAGCTTGCAGGGGCGAGTACAAGCAGGTCGAGAGAGGGAGGAGCTCCCAAGTCTCTGTGGTTTGTGTGCGTATGTCTTCAACCTCCCTTGTGGTTCGTGTGTGCTTCCCCTTTTATAGTCCAAGGGGTGGCATCGTATAGTGGTTGTAGTAAAAGTGAAAGTTACACAAGGTGAAATGCGAAAGGGAGAGGTTTGTCTTCGGCTTCCAAGATTGGCCTGCAGTCCGGGGCGACGTGTCGCCATTCCCGACCCATTAGTGGGTCCGTCCGGACTCGGGATAGTCCTTTGTCCTGAAAAGTGCAATGATGACATTGTTGACTGTTGGCTTCCTTATCTTACCGAAGAAGTCTTCGTCTCGAGTTCCCAGGCCTCGACGGGATGGGCCGCCTGTGCCCATACTTGGTCGGTACGTGCTGCTCCGTCTGACAGGGTGAGCGGCTCAGACGCCGTTCTTCCCGGTCTAATAGCGGGAAAATGGGGCGGCGTGAGACATGACCGGGCACGCCTTTCGCCAACCACTGTGTCTGACAGCGGCCATCCCTCTCGCCAGAGATCGTATCAAAGCGGATCATCGCCCCGCCACCTCATTTATTGCGACGTGCTCGCGGAGCCCGTAAGCGGGATTCATGCGCCAGGGTGGGCCCCTCTTGTCGGCACAGCGAGGCAGATCATCCCCTCTTGGCGGATCGAGGCGCTGGCGCCCCCAAACCCTTGGGATCGGCTGACCCTTGGGCCCGCCTGTCGGCGTGGCGGGACGGAGATCGCCTCGTGGCAGGTCGGGGCGTGGGTGCCCCGACCCCTCGGGGTCGGCTGACCTTTGGGGCCCGCCTGTCGGCGTGACGAGGCGGAGGTTCCTTCCTGTGCCTGGGGAGCGGTCATCTCCCCACACCGAGCGAGGTCAGCTGACGTTTGGGCCTTCCCTTGGGGGTCGGCCCGTCGAGATCACTGCTCCCAGGTGCCGCTATTTCACTGGAAAGGCTTTGTCAGCTCTTTTCTGATATGTGGGGTCGGGATCCGTTTGATCCCCCCGACAGGTGGGGACGAGTAGGAGCTGTCCTCTTTGTAGCCTGTGGAGTGGTCCTTCCGCTGCGTTGCTTTTTCTTAAATGGATGTAAACTTGACTTGCATTTCACTACCTTTTGAACACTCGAAACTTGTTGAACTTGTGAAATGCTTTGAACTTAACAACTTGAAAACTCTTGTAATGTAAACTCCTGAATTGGGCACTTCTCTTTATGTATATGTGTGATGATGATGTGAATGTTGTTACAGCATGTGTGCGATGGTTTTTTTTCCTGGGAACCATTGCAAATCATGTGCCGGGCCCCTCTACTTGCCTCTATTTTACCCGGTTGATGCGTTACTCGACTAGGAGCTCGGAGTGTGGACTGCTCGCGAGAGTTTTCCTACTTCTTGAGCTTGAGCCGAGGGGCTTATCAATGGGGTGAATCGGGGTCAAATTTGAGGTCCTCACAGCTTCGTCCCCCGCGAGCTTAAGCAGAGACAGCGGTCATGGTGGCCTGAGGCGAACGAGCGCCTCCCCTGTCCCCACCCAATTTCCCCTTGTTTTCACGCGATTTTTGGAGAAAACAAGTCAACTCAGGTACCTCTTCCATCCTACTACCTGCATTTTCAGTTTAGTTGTGTGTATTGCGTGGATTTGGGGGGCTAGGGTTTAGGGTTTGGATGAATTTTTTCGTGACTTTTTGGGGGGATCGCGTTGGATCAAGTGACGGTTCTCGCAGTGGTAGCCTTAGACATGTGTAGCTCGTCACGGAGATGCCTTTATATGTGTTTGTAGTCGTGTGTAGCACGAGATTAGTTCGTGTAGATTTTAGGTTACGTTGTATAAGATAGTGGGGTTGAAAGAGGCAAATGTGGACGGTAGAATTTGCAAGTGTTGTAGTCCTGCAGGTGGAAAATGGGTTACTTTTCTGTATAAGCAATTGCATGTTGGATTAGGTCCGGTTAATTCAGGTTAAGGGGAGGATTTTAGGTTTCAGGTTAATTTTTTTATGAAAACTGTATGAATGGTTCGCTAACGAAATGCATGTATTAATGTTTTTCCCGGGATGGCACCCCAATTACCCCCTCCTTGAGACGTTCTACGACAATGAGCACCGTGCTCACCTCATCGGCGACATGAACGAGGTGAGGGAAAAAACTAATAGTTTGTCATTTCCATAGTCGCACGCACGCATTTAAGTGCCTTATTCATGTTGTTTGTTTCGAGTGCAGGCTTTGACCCCGCTCCGTATGCGGGCGCACTGGCCCCTAGTGTGGGACAAGAGGTACGCCCCGTTCATTGCGTGGGCAGGGTTCATTTCGCTAGCCCGCTTGGCCGTGAACGGGCTACCTCCGATGGACACACCACTTATCACCACCATGGTGGACCGCTGGCGTCCGGAGACACACACCTTCCACCTGCTAGTGGGTGAGCTGACGTTGACCCTGCAGGACGTCGCACACATCCTTGGGCTCCCTATTGATGGTCCCGCGATATGCGGAATCGTCGACGGGCAGGGATGGCGTGACCAGGCAGAGCAACTCCTGAGGCTTCGGCCGTCGGAGCCCCCGGAGGACACGAAGAGCGCAGGTGTCTCCGCGAGCTGGCTTCGAGACAATTTTCAGGGGTGCCCAGCCGATGCACCCGAGGAAGTGGTGGAGCGGCACGCTAGGGCCTGGTTGTGGCACCTAGTGGCCGGCTTTCTTTTCCCCGACGCTACGGGGGACCTCATCTCCTGGATGTGGCTCCCCATACTTGGGCTGAGATGGGAGTCCATTCAGGCGTATAGTTGGGGCTCAGCCACCCTTGCATGGCTTTACCGTCAGCTATGTGAGGGTTGCCGGCGTAGTACTCATGGTGCCTATTTCGGCGAGTGCGTCTGGCTTCTTCAAGTCTGGATCTGGGAAAGGTTCGCTGTCGGTCGGCCTTACCGCAGTGTCCCTCAGGTGAGTGCGTAATTCAGTTTAGTCTTACTGTCTAGTTACATAAAGGGACGTTTGAACATTTTGTTTAATGCAATGCAGCCTTGGACACACGAGCTCGGCCGCCCCACGTACGGTTGCCTACCTTTGGACGAATATCAAGTCCGTGCGCGGCAACCCACTACGTCGATACCGTTCTTACACAAGCGAGTTCGACATGGTGGGCCAGAATCATGTAAGAACCATACACATTCTCTTTTACTCTCACATTGTCTTCAATTTGGGTTTGTCCCATCATCATACCATGCACTTGCAGATCGAGTGGCAGCCTTATGAACGGGCTGAGGTGGCTGAACTGGAGTTCGATCCGTATGTGCAGCAGCATTCCGGGTATTGGCGCGCCCGACTTCCCCTAATATGCTTCTACATCGTTGAGTTGCACATGGTCCACAGGGTTGATAGGTAATTCGGGAAGCTTGCTCCACCACAGCCCGAGGTCATCTCCACTCAGGTCACGTTTTTATGCCTCAACTTCGAACCTATTCGTGTATGTAGTGTTCCAGAGTCGATACCTTCTATTTGTCTCAGATTCAACTGGCGCATCACCCTCGCTGCTCATCTTGAGACTTGGGCGCGTCGGGCTCAGTACCAACTGGAGGTTTGGAGCGGGCCCATGCACCGAGCCTCCGAGTACAGGAGGTACCTTGAGTACTTCAGGCAGCACGCTTGAGTACATGCATGCTTCAACTGTGGTGTCATGCACGTGCATTGTACACTGCTCAAGTCGACTCTATAAATCCTACCACGGAACCTCTCTCCACCAACATTGGTTCGGCCGGCCAACCTTACTGAGTAGATATGACGGTTAGGGTCGAACTCCTCACAAACTTGTTTTGTTGATTCTAGCTCTACATCCGCCAAGTGCTTGTTCGCCGCAACGCCCCACATCTAGTTTGCCCCTATGCTGTCACGGGCTTTCTTCCATCGACTAACAAAGTACTCGTTGCATTTCTTGAAAGTGTACGCACTCCACAATTGCGGAAACGGCTAGTCCCCTTACTCCTTTCAGCACCTTGTTTAGGACTTCTGAGATGTTCGTTGTCATTATGCCATACCTACACCCACCAGCATCGTACGCTCAGACCTCCCCAAGCCTCTCATTGAAATCTCTTTCCTCAAGTGCGTTGCACAGTTGTTTCAATTTCCCGACAACTTCTTTGCTTTTCTGTCTCTTCCACACATTAGCGGCGAAATGCCGCATGCACCATCGAGCCGCATTGAGGAGCCCGTGGTGCCGATCGGAAATCAATCACTACTTGCCGTACATGCACGAGAAAACCAACTCCAACTTTCATTCTTCTCCCCCACTGTGAGTCCGAAGCCTAGGGGTATCAGCTGGTTGTTCGCATCATACGCCGTGGCAATCATCAAAACACCCTTGTAAGCTCCTGTCAAGAAAGTGGCATCCGTGCTTGAATGCTTCCACTGCCTAAGGAAAAGCCCAGAAAACACGAAGTAAAACTTCCTTCCGTACACCTCCTTTAGTCACCCACATTATACCACCGGTGTCAACAAAATACTTCAACCCCGGGTTCCGATGTGCCATCGCCAGTAAAATCCTTGGCACCCGGTTGTATGCCTCCTTCCAGTCTCCCCACAAGTACTGCAAATTAAGCATGTTGTCTTGCCCTCCAAGCCTTTCCATATGTCACCCAGTACCCGGTGAATCCATGCATAAATGGATTGCACAAGCGATGATGCGAGGCTGCTTAACCCGTGTTATCTTCCATGGCATTCCATCTCTAGATGCATTACGGGCCCATAGACCCACCCACAGCCCATCTGGCACATAACTGTATATCTCGTTGATCGCTGCGAGTGAACCACAGTGAATGGACGATGGTGCCGAACTGCATAGTCCTGAAGCCACAACTTCAACGCCTCTAGAGTGGGGAACCTCATCCCCTTACGAATTATCGCAGACTCTGTTGTCGGCTCATCATTGCTGGTCAGAAGGCCGCTGTCACAGACCGCCGCGTCCGCCAAGCTAACATCAACGAACAACGGGACCTCCGGTAGATGGACATGAACAGCCGTCAATGTTCGCAATTCCTGCGCTGTGTACGCTGATTGCCAACCACCATAGTCAACATATTCTTCCCGATCCTGCCCTTTGGCGTCTTCCACATGTTCCTGTTGTTGGCCATGACCATCATTTTCATCTGCCCTACTAGTATCATCTCCCGTTCCATCTTCCTCCCTATCTGAATCTGACCATACCTCGTTTTCCATCCTATGTTCCTCGGCTTGTTCCGCCGCCTCTTCCTCAAATGTCGCATCGTCAAAGTCATTGTTCACGACGGCCAAGTCGTAACCCACTCCACCATCACAACCTCCAGCACTAGGGGCATCATCCTCAGCGCCAACACACCCAACAGGCTCGTTGCATAGTCCCTCCTGCGTCAAATGCTCGACAGGCTCATCTTCAACTAGAACTGAAGCCCTAACTCCGACATGTTCCTCAGCGCCAACCCAACCAACAGGCTCGTTGCATGGTGCCTCCTGGGTCAAATGCTGGACAGGCTCCTCTTCAACTGGAACTGAAGCCCTAACTCCGACATGAAGGCTATCCATTCCATGCCATTCAACAACCACTTCCGGTAATTTGACTTGACATGCCCCTAGAACCTCTTTGTATGTCTGCCAATCAAATTCCGAAGCTAACTCCATTAGAGCATAGTGAGCCCTAGCACCTCCTGAGTCAAACCGACCACGAATTCGCATTCCAATACCACCACACTTCAATTTCAACCTAACTCGCTCCACTATAGCATCCAATCTCAAAAACCAACACCTCATCCTCCATTCCCTCGAATTCCCCGTTGTTGTTGACCAAACCCCCGTGAAACATCCGCACGACACGATCCATCTACAACATATAGCAAAACTTGTCATTGCCATCACAAACTTAACGAAAATTATCATGAGTCTTATTTGAAATCCTCCCCTTAACCTGACTTAACCGGACCTAATCCAACATGCAATTGCTTATACAGAAAAGTAACCCATTTTCCACCTGCAGGACTACAGCACCTGCAAATTCTACCGTCCACATTTGCCTCTTTCAACCCCACTATCGTATACAACGTAACCTAAAATCTACACGAACTAATCTCGTGCTACACACGACTACAAACACATATAAAGGCATCTGCGTGACGAGCTACACATGTCTAAGGCTACCAATGCGAGAACCGTCACTTGATCCAACGCGACCCCCCCAAAAAATCACGAAAAAATTCATCCAAACCCTAAACCCTAGCCCCCCAAATCCGCGCAATACACACAACTAAATTGAAAATGCAGGTAGTAGGATGGAAGAGGTACCTGAGTTGACTTGTTTTCTCCAAAAATCGCGCGAAAACAAGGGGATATCGGGTGGGGACAGAGGGGAGGGGCGCTCAGTCGCCTCAGGCCGCCATGACCGCTGTCTCTGCTGGAGCTCGCGGGGGATGAAGCAGCCGTGCGGGGAGGAGGGACGCGGGCCCTGGTATAAGTCTCCTCTGTAACACCTCCCCTCATGGCGTTACAAGGTCCTGTAACGCCAAAGGGAGTGGCGTTACAGAGCCTCCCCCCTTTTCAGCTTTCCCCGTCGGATTTTCACGTCACCACGCGGGGCAAGGGGATGCCAGCGTGGCCGCCCTTGTAACGCCATTGCAGTGTTCTTTTGTAAAGCCAGCGTCCGTGGCGTTACCAAAAGGGCTAGAAATTGGAAATAAAGTCCGGCAGGGGGTATTATTAAAATATTTTTTTAAAGGACTATTTAATATAAAAAATTCGTATGTGCTGAAGCTCCTCAATCCGAAATCATAATTACTGTTTTTCTTTGGCTGTGCATGCATGCATCATCTTCATTATTGTTATCTTGTGGCGCTGATCCAGACCCAACCCCATGTTCAACTCTTTTTGGGTCTTTTTTGAAATACAACCTTTCACAAGAATTCATACCAAAAATCCGCACAGAAATTTTTTTCCTAGCAATGTACTCAAACAGCAGAAACTCCCCCCGTTTAATGAAATGGTCTGAGACAAAAATATTCCATCCCTGATAAAAAGCGAGGGAATCATTCACCACAGATAGCCCGACCTCTGAACGTCTTTTCTCTGAATCTTCAAGATATACATGGTGATTAGTCAAATCTGCCAAATTGCGTGCAACAGCTGGTGGTATAAGCTGCACAACATACACAGGTTTGTGATGTTTAATATAGGCACCATGACATAACACACAAACAAAACAAGAAAAAGATACTACTATTAACCCAAACATCAAGAAAAATGATAAGCTTATGAGCAAAACAGTAAGAATCAAAAACTTACCAGAAATTCCTCGAAGCTGCTGTATATGATCTTGAAGAATGCGAAGGAAGTATGCTTATTCTTTTCCTTGCCAGCACCACATATCTTCTTTTCCTGCACCCTACCACTATGAATCTTATTATCACTCCTCTTTCCTTTTTTGGGTAATGTGTGATCCCTCTTCCTTTTCTTATATTTAGAACCACTAGATGTATCGATCTTCTTCTCTTTGGATACAATAGATGGCAAACTTCTCCTATTTGGTTTGTCATGGCACATCATTGCCTCCGTGCTCTCACTGAGCCTCATTCTCTTCTCCTTAACAGCAAGTGTGAATGGTGCATTTTCTTCATCTCCATTGCTCTGCAGCTCCTCATTGTTGGTCTTGTTCAGCCTTTTTCCTTTCTTTTCCTTCCCAAAGAATGCAGTGGACACCTCCCCGCTCTTTATTATGCTATTGTGGCGGCTCAGTATCTTCCTCTCCTTGCGGTCAGCAGCCCACATCTTCTCCTTGTGTGTTTTGTTCAGCTTTTCCTTATTCTTCTCCTTCTCACATAACGTGGGGGACTCCTTCCTGTTCATCAACTTATGGTTCCCACTATGCCTATTCTTTCCCTCGTCGTTATCATCAATTTGCATTTTCTTCTTGGTGTTGGCATTGCAAAGTTTTTGCTTCTTCTTCATCTTCTCAAGGGATGCAGTGGACTCCTCCTTCGTACTCTTCACCTTATTGTGACCATTCCATATAATCCTCTCTTCCTTCTCCTGGTCATCAGCCATCATATTCTTGTTGCTGTTTGTTCTCCCTTCCTTTTGCTTCCCCTTCTCCAAGAAGGCAGCTATGGATGTCTTCCTGTTCTTCACCTCACTGCCACCACCACTCATTTTCTTTCCCTCCTCATTGTCATCACTCTGAATCTTCATCATGGTGCTGTCATGACTCCTCAGCCGCTTCCGGCATGCCGTATCAGGAGCAGCACCACTCATCCTCTGAAACCCCAATCAGATTCCGTTCCCTCCCCTGACCAACCAATGAAGCCACCAGAAATATGGGCCACTTAGACATGACACACGAGAGGAAAATACCAGAGCCAGAGCAAAAGCAACAAGACGGGTTACTAGGAATTAAACTCCCGAAAAAAGGAGAGATCCTCAAGAAATCACTCACGTGCCGTTTTGTTATGTACTGTTCAAACGAAAGCCCGAAACCTATCAAGAACCCTCGGGGGCGGAGCTAGAGTAAACTTGAGGCGGGTGCAATACTTCATTTCAATTAAAGATGTTCAAGTGATCATCTGAAAAAAAAAGATGTTCAAACGACAAAATCTAAAATAATAGCCCAACATGTACAGTGACAATGTAGTAGTGGTAACAGTATTTATCATCTACCCAAGGGCCCTGCATCTACCAAAATAAGCAAATGTAGCAGCACGCCATGGTGAACAAAAGACATCTGACGTTTGCAAAATATATGGTCCAACCTCAACATCTTTTCCATGTTTTACCTATCATTTGCAAGAATATTCAGATTTTACTTGTGTCCAGTACTCATGTCACAATACCAAGAGCAAGCAAACCTCCCAATTACAACTAAAACCCTAACAAAGACAAAGTAACCCTAGAATATGGCTAAGAACAAATTAGTTTAAACAAAATTGGATGCCCAACTTGATAGGAATCGAAATAATTGAAAGGATGTTGAGGGTCTCTGTCTTACCCTGTGTTCGACCTAAGGTTGAAGAATGCAAGCGAGAGTCAGCAGGGGGCGAGCAGACTGCAACCCGCTCGTGCCGCGGCCGTCCCGACCAGCGAGGAGAGGCTCCTCCTCCTGCGACCTGCGCTGCTTCTCCGTTTCTTCGATCAGTGGGCAATCAACGATTGAAATTGTGCCATGGGAGAGGCTGAGAGGGCGGAAGAGGGGAGACGGGGACGGAAGGCGAAAGACTCGAGGACTCGCGACTGTCTCCTTCGTGTGTATCTGATTGGAGAAAGGCTGAGGCGGATTTGGCTGTGGGCTGGCGAATGTCTGTGGATGCATTGTATTGGGCCTGGGGTGCATATTGTAAAAGGTTCATTTGGAGATTGTACGCATGGCAGATAAAACAAAATAGACACCGCCAGTCAGATCTCCTTTGACTGGATGCCCTAACAGTCATGCATTGCTGCTGAGTCACTGATGAGTGTACGGACACTGAAGAGTGAGAACCGGTGGGATGCCGCCATCGAGATTCGAGAGCGACCTCGGAGTATATAATGGTTTAGGGGCAGTTTGGCACGCCTCTGCCCGCGGCTCCGGCTCCGCGGCCGCGCGTGCCAAACGCGCTGCTCTGGCTCCGGCTTGGTTCCGCGGGAGGAGCCCCCCGGCACAGCGCCCCCCCGCTCCAACTGGTCGCCCGAAGCCAGCGGAACGTGGCTTCTCCCCGCTCCTCCTCCTCACGACCCGTCTCCCTCCTCGCGTCACCCCTCTGTCTGCCCCCACCCCCCAAGCCTCCTCCGGCAGACGCACCTCCAGATCCGGCCTCCCCCGGTCGCACCCGATGCGAGAAAAAAAAAGAAAAAGAAAATAAAAATGTTAAAATACACCGAGAAGCCGCAGCAGAAGCCGGTCTGCCAAACGGGGGCAAAAAGAGTTCAGCTCCACTAAAAAAGTCACTTCACCCCCGAAGCCACCGCCGAAGACGTTTTTGGAGAAGCCGGAGCTCTACAAAAGAAACCCTTAATCAGTCAAAGCTCCCAAGACCAGACAATCAAAGTCGACCTTGGCAGTCAAATTTGCGCGCCTGACACGGTGGCACTCGTTACCTACTCCTGCCAGTTTTTTGGTCCCAGAATAAAACCCGGTGCCACCATGTTTAACATTAAGCATTTGATACATGAAAGACTATGAAACCTTGTAACATGAGAATTATATGATCTGTTTTTTATCATTAACATAGAACATATTTCATCAGTTGCGCCAAGATATAAAAAGTGGTGTCAAAATGGCATGTTAGAGGGGGGAGGGGGGGACCAACAGGGAAAATCGCATGTCAGAGGCACCGGAAAAATTGAAACAGCAAACAAGAACTGGCGGTTTGGACTCGATCAACTCAACTAACTACTGGAGCGCAGGCGGGACAACGCGACGTGTACATTTGTCAGTTATGACGGGCGCATTATTTCAATCTTCAAGCTGCCATATTCGATACTAGGAAGTTCCTACAGTCGTGTCTATTAGCAGTCGTTCAAATACGACGGTAATAAATGTAATTGTGGATTGTGACGGGCGCGGTTGGTCTGGTCTAGGCAAGATAAGTAGAAGAGCTCAACTGGAAACAGTGTCTTAGTCAATACTCACTGGACCCCTATGTGCAAAGTCTAGATGGACTTGGATTTATTAGAGGAACTTGAGCAAATACGATGCATGCGTTAGCGTTAGTAATGGACAAGTTTTTCGAGGCACAACCTGCTTGCACTACTACAGACACTATTTTTGGCAACGGAGGACAAAAAGATCTGGAAATGCCTCGTCGCGAGCCGCCTGTGGAAATCTATTTCTAAAGGCGACTGGATTTTCAGAGACGGCTGGCGAGAAAATGGGCCATTTTCAGAGGCGGTTGGCATTGAAATCAAGCCAGCCGCCTCTAGAAAACCGATTTTCAGAGGTGGCTGGCTCGCCAGCCATTTTCAGAGGCGGGTGGCAATGCCAGCCGCCTCTAGAAATTCATTTTCAGAGGCGGTTGGGATTCCGGTCCGTCTCTAAAAATAGCTGCAGCACAGAAAAATTCGTAACTTTTTGAAAAAAATTCAGATGAAGACAAATTTTATATGAAAATTGTAGTTCTCGAAAAGATCTACAACTTTTTAGTTGATAAATTTTTCATTTGAAATCATTTACATACCCAAATTTCTGTTTGAAGTTCTCACATTTTGAATTTTGAATTTTTGGAATTTTTCAAACAACCTCGGATGGAGAAACAACCAAAATCAAAGTTATAGATCCCTTCGAGATATACAACTTTGTAGTTCAAACTTTGTTTATTTGAATTCATTTAGTGTACCAAAATTATGTTTGAAGTTCTTACATTTTGAATTTTGAATTTTTCAAATAACCTCGGACGGAGAAACGACCAAAACCAAAGTTATAGATCTCTTCAAGATATGCAACTTTGTAGTTTAAACTTTTTTATTTGAATTCATTTAGTATTCCAAAATTATGTTTCAAGTTCTTACATTTTTGAAATTTGAAATTTGCAAACGACCTCGGATGGATAAACGACCAAAACCAAAGTGGTAGATCTCTTCAAGATGTACAACTTTGTAGTTCAAACTTTTTTTATTTAAATTCATTTAGTATCTCAAAAATATTCATTACAGTGTTTAGAAAAGTGAATACAAAAGGGAAGTATCTCTTACTTGGTCACAAGTCACTATGGGGTGGAGTGGTTAGAGGAGCGCATGCGAGAGCAGAAGGTCCTGAGCTTGAATCTTGGCATCGCACATGCGCGAAAAATGGCGTGACTTGTGTGAGTTCTGGTGGGTTGTGACTAAGACAGATAGGTGGGGCCTCCTTAGAAATTAAAAATATTTTTGCTATTTTTTACGCGATTTTTCAGTTCTAATTTTTTTGACCGATTTCCAGAGACGGCTGGAGAGACACTCGCCTCTGGAAATCGATTTCCAGAGGCGGCTGGCCAGCCGCCTCTAGAAATAGCGATTTTTACTCACCTTTAGCTAGAGGCAGGTTGGCCAACCGCCTCTGAAAACACATTCCAGCCGCTTGTACAAACGTTCTGTGTGTAGTGTTGCCAGGGTAATAGGAAGTCGGAAACATGCTCAACCGGTCTCGTGTCATGATACGCATGTTGCAGAATGCTTACCGGGGTCTACAAATTAGAGCTTTTTCTTGCTGGTTGCCCTAACTCCCTCCCGCACTCACTCACTCACTCACTCACTCATATTACTGAAGTATTTTTTGATGTGTGTGCACTATGTTCTTTTCTACCGACAGCTGCACATTGCACCAGTTAGGGTTTTTTTCTTCTCTCTGTCGTCTCTATATGTATATATTTCTGCCCCCTTATGTGGCGGTGGCCCTAACTCTAGCATCCTCCGCAGATGGTGGGATGAGTCCAGCCCAGATTGTCCATTGGGATTTATGATGTTTGGCTTCTTCTTTTTAATCTCTTCAGCCTTTGATAGTCATAATCATTGAACATATTGACATTGATTTGTATCGAAACAGCACACATTATGCACCCACTGCTATAACGGAATCTCCTTAACCCCAAGTATCTAATTCAGTTGGTTTGTGTTTATTAAATGCTTCAGACTGAATTTTGTATTTGCTACCTGATTTCAAAACACACCTATGCACATCTGTGCCAAAGGGATCTGCTAGATTTGGATATTTTTGGAATCATACTTTATTGATGTTATGATTTAACTCTCTGTTAGGTTTTGCACTTAATATTTGCAAGTAGATATGTGCTATTTTGTACAAGTACTATTATTGTCACATTATATAAACCATCTTTTTTTCACTCAAAACAATAGAACCTGGTGTCTTTGTATGAAGAGGTGAAAAATCACAGTTGTTTTGAAAACACTAGTTAAACCAGAGGTGCTGGCACTCACACACTAAACTCGCGCACACTTGCTTCTTTGCCTTGTATTTGTGTGAGTGACACTGTTTATATATAAAATATATCAGGAGTGTACAAAATCTAATTTCAGTTTAACCAGGAATTTATAGTACTCGTTATATATTTTTTTCTTGGATACTTCTATTTACTGAAGTTCTTTTTCGTGCATTGGTCAATTCAACAGGTCATTCTTAGTGACAACTTTAGAAAGTCTTCCATGAAACTAAAATCTCTGCATCTGAGGAGGGAGGTATTGCAAAAACTTGTCAAACTTGGTGGTGGCTGGCGGACTACAGTTAAGAATTATGATATAACCGACGCTTTTCAGCTTGCAAAAGTGTACAGGATCAGGGACCTTTATCTTGTTTGGAGTAATGATTTGGAGAAGAATGAAAGATATTTCCAGATAATAAGAATTTGGGATCTGTTGTCACATCAACATGTCGCAAGAATTTTACAACGTCTTGAAAATATTTTTTCCATGTACACAGATGATTACCTTGACCACTGCAGACAAGTGCAGACAGAGGGGTATGCCTCTTCCTGAATGACGTATATATACTGGTTATGTGGATTTGAATCATTTGATGCTTTATAACTGTGGATCTGAAAAAAGATACTGCTATTGTCATTGGCTGCAAACAGAAACCAATCAGATAGAATTTATACATTTTGTCCCCTACATATTTATGTCCATAGTCACAGGGGAAAGAAGAATCATTCTAACATTCTCTTGTGCTGTAACTCTCCTCATATAATGAATGTTTGATTGTTTGTGGCCTTCACCTCCCCAATTTTTGTTTTCAAAGCTAAATCTTTCTAACAATCATGATTATCTTAATTTTGCTTTGCATTTTTACCTACGTTTTTTAATTTTTTTTACTTTTTATTCTGGGTGTCAGGAAACTTGAAGTTCCTATAGTTTGGGAAGATGTGCACGATATTATTCGATATAAGAAGGATAGCAGAGTTGATGAAGAGGAAGATCATGATCATGTGGACACATCATGTGCTCTGGAGAGTACAAGAGTTAGTGAAAACTTCTTGCTGATGAAATTTTACTCTTTATCATCTGGTGTGGCAAAACATTTGCTGACGGCTAATGATGGAACTGAAATCGATATTCCCTTTGAACTTTCTGATGAAGAGGAGGCAATAATTCGATTCCCACTAACTAGCTTTATACTTGGGAGGTCAGGCACTGGGAAAACCACTGTATTGACAATGAAACTGATTCAGATTGAGCAGCAGTCACTGATTGCATCCCAAGGGCCAGCTTTAGGTGAAGTTGATTCATTTGAGGTGGATAACCAAAATGTTGTACAGTCAAAGGATGCCGGCAAACAAGAAAGCTTTGTAAAACAAGTCTTTATTACTGTAAGCCCAAAACTTTGTTCAGCTATAAAGAATCAGATTCTTAGACTTAAAAGGTAAAGCTATCTGAACTGGATTTGTATGGTATTAGTTGATTTTCATGTATTTAATTTTAAAGTGAACAGAGTTAATATAACCTTTCAATTATAAAAATAACTTGCATTCTACAGACTTTACTTTTCAGATATCTTTTTCTTGTCTAAAATTTATCAAACTATTTCAGTTACCTCTTCTGGAAGATATTAACTTTGGTTGCTATGCTAGTATGCCATCCATGTTTGTGACATTAATCTTTGTGTTCTTTTGAATCTATAGATTTGGCTCTGGTGATGTATCTGATCAGCCCGATATTCTTCATATGCATGATACCATTGATGACCTGGATGAGTTTACAGACATACCCGATGATTTTAGTGATCTACCAAGGGAACACTATCCTCTTATTATAACATACCGCAAATTCTTGATGATGCTTGATGGGACATTTCAGAGTTCGTTTTTTGATATGTTTTATGGTGATCTCAAGTCTACCATTGAAAGAGGGCACTCCATATCTCGTGCATTGCAAGCTTTTATTGAATCTAAGGAAGTTACCTTTGATAAGTTTTCTGTCACTTATTGGCCTCATTTCAATTCAGTACTGACAAAGAGACTTGATGCATCAACTGTCTATACAGAAATAATTTCTCACATAAAGGGTGGCCACAACGCAAACATGCTCTCCAGTGGCAAACTCAAAAGGCTGGATTATGTCATGCTCTCTGATAAAAGATTTTCATCACTGAACCGTGAGTTGCGAGATAGGATTTATGATATTTTTCTTGGTTATGAGCGTATGAAGAGGGCAGCAAGAGAATTCGATTTGTCTGATTTTGTAAATAGTCTTCATAGCCGTCTAGTTTCCGAGGGTTACAAGGGCAATTTGGTGGATTTTATTTACATAGATGAGGTGCAGGATCTTACTATGAGACAAATATCACTTCTTAAGTATGTCTACAGGAACTTCAAGGAGGGTTTTGTTTTTGCTGGTGACACGACACAGACTATAGCAAAGGGTGTTGAGTTCAGGTTTGAAGATATTCGCTCACTGTTTTATACATCATTCCTCTCAGAAATTGAACAATGCAATCAAGGAACTAAACATGGCAAACAAGTTCGTATCACAGATATGTTCCAGCTCAGTCAAAATTTTCGCACACATTGTGGTATAATTCGTATAGCTCAGAGCATAATGAGCCTTTTATACTACTTTTTCCCATCATGTGTTGACAAGCTGAATCCAGAGACTGGGCTGGTATATGGAGAAGCCCCTGTGCTGCTTGAGTCTGGTAATGATGAAAATGCAATATTAATTATGACTATTTTTGGAGAAAGCAGAAGTGAGCATAGTAATCAGCATGGGTTTGGTGCTGAGCAAGTCATATTGGTTCGCGATGCTGCTGCCAAGAAGCACGTTATGGACCTTGTTGGTAAACAAGCTCTTGTTTTGACAATTGTTGAATGTAAGGGCCTTGAGTTCCAGGTATGAGCATATCATTTCTATTCATTGTTGCTTGTGTTACAACATATCTTCATTGTAAAGTTTGTTGCCTTATGCTGACTTGGAGGATACTTAATATGTTTGTGTAGGACGTGCTGCTGTATAACTTCTTCAGTTCATCACCGTTAAGGAACAAATGGAGAGTTTTGTATGATTACATGGAGAATAAAAATGTTATAGCATTGTCTAAAGAGGGGTCTCATCCAGATTTCGATAGAAACAAGCATTATCTGCTGTGTTCAGAGCTGAAGCGGCTGTATGTCGCGATCACACGAACTAGGCAAAGACTCTGGATATGTGGGAATAAAGATGACTACTGTCGACCAATGTTTGACTACTGGAAGAAGTTGTGCATTGTGGAGGTTAGACTACTTGATACTTCTCTGATTCAAGCAATGCAGACAGGGAGCAGTGCTGATGATTGGAGGCTACGTGGTACTAAGGTTGTGCTTATACTTGGCTGATGTTTTGATATGCAAAAGCTAGTTCTTGAAGCTATATGCTGTACAACCCAGGAAATTCGACTTATGGTTGTTTTAATTCAAACATGTGGGCCATTCTGACATCTGAAATATTTGCTCACATGCCTTTTCCAAGTATAGTGTAGATTAGTTTGTGATGTTATTGTACATTTTCTTTAATAATTGTTATTCAATGTAACAAATGTAAACCTTTTCCCCTATTTTAGTTATTCAACGAGGGGCAATTTGAGATGGCTACAATGTGTTTTAAAAAGGCTGGTGATGGATATAGAGAGAAGTGGGCAAGAGCTGCAGGACTTTTCTCAACTGCAGAACGTGTCATCTCCACAAATTTGGAGATGGGCCAAGCTTCCTTGCAAAAAGCATCGGAGATTTATGAGTCGATTGGCATGCATGAGAAAGCTGCCACTTGCTACGTCAAATTACGTGACTATGAAAGAGCAAGGTATGCTCACGTTCCATGTTTGTCTAATTCAGCTTATATATAAATGTCAAGCTACTCTTAAAGACCAAATCCAGAAGATCTGTGGATTTGAAAAGTTCACTACCTCCATATTTTTTTATGTTATCGTATTTCCAAATATACAATGAAGCCATACGATGAAGCTCTGGGAGAGGGTTATTGAGCATCGCCTAAGAAGCGTGACAAGTGTGACCCAAAACCAGTTTGGGTTCATGCCTGGCAGGTCGACCATGGAGGCGATTTTCTTGATACGACAATTGATGGAGAGATATAGGGAGCAGAAAAAGGACTTGCACATGGTCTTTATTGACCTCGAGAAGGCATACGACAAAGTACCAAGAAATATTATGTGGTGGGCCTTGGAAAAGCACAAAGTCCCAACTAAGTACATTACCCTTATCAAGGATATGTACAAGGATGCGATGACGTGCGTCCGAACATGTGATGGCAACACCAGGGACTTTCCAATTAAAATAGGACTACATCAGGAGTCTGTCGATACGGGACCCATAAGGTTCCCCACGGTGAAGAGAGAAGAAGACTTAGTCTAAATAGGATTCTCCTCATGTAATCCTACTAGGACTAGTACACGTAATCCTACTAGGATCTCTACTTTGTAACCGACTAGGACTCCCGCCTCTCCTGGACTATATAAAGGAGGGTAGGGGTCCCTAGATCGAGAGACCTATTCTAGACCCACACACACATGAGCGACAAACATAACCGACAGACCTCGCAACAACACAACAAATAGCGCAGGGCGCAATATACTATCCACACCAGACTGGATGTAGGGCGCCGTGACTTTTCGGCGTGCCGAACCAGTATAAATCGTTGTCTCCCTGCGTTTACCATCGAGTTCCTGCAAACGTCGATACCCTTCCGAACAAATCACCGCCCCGGGTACTCCCGTGGCGGGTTGCCGGTGGTAAAACATCGACAGCTGGCGCGCCAGGTAGGGGCCCTCGGCGCTTTGCGTTTGAGAGCTCGGTGGACCTCGTGATCAAGACTTAATACTTGCTGCGGCTCTCGTCGGCCCTCGTCGACAAGTCGCGGCGGCTCTCGTCGACCCTTACGATCAACAACGTCCGCGGCAACTCGGACTCACAAGATGACGTTCTTCGGTGAACCGTGACACGATTGGATTTCGAGCAGCTCGATCTGCACTCTGCTCCTTACCGAATTAATTTCCTACAATCACTTACCGTCTGATGGGAAGGCTCGAGTCGGACCCAAGTCGGATCGCCGGCCTATTTTCGTCACCAAATCAGACAAGGATGCCGTATAGAACTCGAAACCGTGCAAGCTAGAAACCAACAAGCAAGCAAGGAGTCTGCGCGGCGATACGACTTGATTTTTTGGAAGACGTACAAGCTACAGGATTTGAACAGGTTCCGAGTGCTACACCGAGCCAACAAGCAAGCAAGCCGACTACAATAGGGATCCAATCAGCAGGAAGCAAGCAAATTATTCGTGCTCTACAGCTCCATGACACGCTGATGACGCAAGCAAGCTAGAAAGAAGTCCACACAATTAATCAGAAGAGACGTACATGCAAGCCAATTAAATATTGATGAGACCCGTATATACATATATACATGCAAAACGCACAGCAACAACCTGGAAGACTGGTCCGTGAACTACTCGACAGAGATACGATACCGACTACTCGGCTACAGCTGCAAGGAACGACTATTCGCCACCGTGAACGACAACCTGGCTGCAGTAATCCACTATTTGGCCATGGCGCCGGCTACACAACTCTGCCATACACCAAGCTAAGTAACGCTTTAATTTTTTACATTTCAGATATTATTCGTATGCCTCTGTGGCCATATCATCTTCCCTTAACAGTTGTTAATTTCCTCGGATGGTAAGCCTTAATTCGTGAAGCTTGTTTTCTCGAATGGATGGTCACGTCAATGAACCTCTGAACCATACGGATGGTCACGTCAAAGAACCTCTGAACCATACGGGTGGTCACGTCAATAGACCTCTGAACCATACGCGAGATTCAAGTGCTTAAACGTAACAAGCTACTACCCAGGAAATTAACCGACCTAGCAAGGGAAGACACAAAAAATCATCATGCGAGCAAACATAGTGCTCCAAGTAAAATCATCATGTGACCAAACATAGTGCTCTAGGTCTTCTCTTAACGGTCGCCGAATTCCTCAGGTAGAACACGCCTTAATCCGTGAAGCTTGTCTACTCACATGGACGGTCACGAACCGAGTGCCAGGCTCACATGGTCACGTCATGAACCTCTGAACCATACGCCAGAGATTCAAGTGCTTAAACGTAATGAGGACACTACGAGGAATTTGCATGGCCTAACAAGAGCAAGGCGCAAAAAAATTTATATGCATTTCATAATGCCGGGCCCATACGATTGATTATTCAAATAGGGGACATGCTCCCGACTTCATATCCGGAATATCATTTACAACATTTTTTTTATGTTTAACATGCAGGGGAGCTGAGAGCTAGTCCAGAAACAAGCTGGTTTGAACAAAAAAGAACCCCAACAAGGTGCTACAAGTAACAAGACAAATTCAGAAAGAACCCGGATTGATCAGAAAACAGAACCCGGAACGATCAGAAAACAACCCTGAAGAGGTGCTGCAAGAAACAAGACAAATTCAGAAAGAACCCGGATTGATCAGAAAACAACCCCGATGAGGAACATACAAGTTCAGAAAGAACCCGGAACGATCAGAAAACAACCCTGAAGAGGTGCTGCAAGAAACAAGACAAATTCAGAAAGAACCCGGATTGATCAGAAAACAACCCGGATGAGGAACATACAAGTTCAGAAAGAACCCGGAACGATCAGAAAACAACCCTGAAGAGGTGCTGCAAGTAACAAGACAAATTCAGAAAGAACCCGGATTGATCAGAAAACAACCCGGATGAGGTACATACAAGTTCAGAAAGAACCCGGAACGATCAGAAAACAACCCCGAAGAGGTGCTGCAAGTAACAAGACAAATTTAGAAAGAACCCGGATTGATCAGAAAACAACCCGGATAAGGTACATACAAGTTCAGAAAGAACCTGAACGAAGTGCAAACAACCTGGAAGAGGTACATCAAGAACCAGAGAAGTCTAGAAAACGACCTGGATGAATAAAAACAACTCGGAAGAGCTTAGTCAAACACTAAGCTCGGGGGCTCGGCATTCGCTTCAACTACGCTCGGGGGCTCGAATTCAAGGATGAAAGACCAAGAATACAAGTACTCAAGACTACAACAAAGACAACACATCAAGACCCTTCATCCGATTTCTATTCTAAAGAAAAGTACTCGGAGAAGGCTTGGGGGCTGTGGGATACATAACCCCAAAATTTTTTTGAAGACAAGAATCTGGACCCTCCAACTTTTGCAAGCAAAAGCAAGAAGCTCGGGGGCTACACTCAGTGAGTGCAATTTTTATGAAAAATTGCACCCACCGAAAAAGAACTCAGAGCAACCAAGAAGACTAAAGGGACCCTCTGGCTTCTTGTCCCAACAAGCAAGAGGCTCGGGGGCTACACTCACTGAGTGCATTTTTATCCAAAAGTGCACATCAGCCGAAGAAAAGACAAAGAAGATCATCTCAAGGTTTCACTTCAAGAAGAACCTCGAACGGATTTACAACAACTCAACGAAGACCAAGAAGAACAAGAAGGCTTCCGAAGCTCATCCATGAGATGCTCGGGGGGCTTGTCGATACGGGACCCATAAGGTTCCCCACGGTGAAGAGAGAAGAAGACTTAGTCTAAATAGGATTCTCCTCATGTAATCCTACTAGGACTAGTGCATGTAATCCTACTAGGATCTCTACTTTGTAACCGACTAGGACTCCCGCCTCTCCTGGACTATATAAAGGAGGGTAGGGGTCCCTAGATCGAGAGACCTATTCTAGACCCACACACACATGAGCGACAAACATAACCGACAGACCTCGCAACAACACAACAAATAGCGCAGGGCGCAATATACTATCCACACCAGACTGGATGTAGGGCGCCGTGACTTTCCGGCGTGCCGAACCAGTATAAATCGTTGTCTCCCTGCGTTTACCATCGAGTTCCTGCAAACGTCGATACCCCTCCGAACAAATCACCGCCCCGGGTACTCCCGTGGCGGGTTGCCGGTGGTAAAACATCGACAGAGTTAGCACTGAGCCCTTATTTATTTGCTTTGGTGATGGATGAGGTCACAAGGGATATACAAGGGGATATCCCTTGGTGTATGCTCTTTGCTGATGATGTGGTGCTAGTTGACGAGAGTAGGGCAGGAGTTAATAGGAAGTTAGAGCTGTGGAGGCATACTTTAGAATCAAAAGGGTTCAGACTTAGTAGGACCAAGACCGAGTATATGATGTGCGATTTCAGTGTGACTAGCCAGGAGGATGGAGACGTTAGCCTCAATGGGCAAGTGGTGGTCAAGAAGGACACTTTCCGGTATTTAGGATCGATGCTACAAAAGGATGGCGACATTGATGCAGATGTTAGGCATAGAATTTCAGCTGGTTGGTTGAAATGGCGTCAAGCTTCTGGGGTCCTCTGTGATAAGAGGGTGCCACAAAAACTAAAAGGTAAGTTCTATAGGACGGCGATTCGCCCATCGATGTTATATGGTGCTGAATATTGGTCTACAAAAAGACAACATATCCAGCAACTGAGTGTAGCAGAGATGCGTATGTTGCGTTGGTGTTGTGGGCACACAAGAAGGGATAGAGTCCGGAACAAAGATATTCGGGATAAGGTAGAGGTGGCACCAATTGAGGAGAAACTGATCCAACATCGGTTGAGATGGTTTAGACATGTACAACGAAGGCCTCCCGAGGCACCGGTGCGTAGTGGGGTTCTAAAGTGGGTCAACAATGTAAAGAGAGGTAGAGGTCGACCAAGACTGACTTGGGACGAAGCGGTTAAGAGAGACCTTAAGGAGTGGAATATCTCTAAAGAGGTAGCTTTAGATAGGAGCGCTTGGAGACTAGCAATAAACGTGCCTGAGCCGTGACCTAACTCTACCTCCTGTCCTGTGCTCCTTTTATGCTTCTCCTATCCTTGTTTCTTATGGACTTCATCTCTAGCCTATCCCAACTTGCTTGGGACAAAAGGCTATGTTGTTGTTGTTGTTGTATTGTATTTCCAAATATTCTCTATTAATTGCAGATGTCATGTCTTTTTACCAACTTTTTTTACTGAATGTATCATACAGCTCAATCTAGAGTAAACAGTGGGACAGCTCAATCTAGAGTAAACAGTGGGTGCGCAATTCTTTAGATGTGTCATTTCCTGGCTGGAGCAGAGGGGCCCTCTAGAAACTATCGGTGCACAATTGTTGGAAGAGGTCAGGAACATCTGCAATCAATCTATTCGGTATGCACATCTATGCGCATTTACGAAATGTTATTGGTGTTAATATTTACTCCCTCCAGTCTCAAAAAAGAAGTCGCTTTAGACAAAGACACGGTCTTCAAGATATAACTTTGACCATGATTTTCTACTAAAATATGTGTATAAAAACCAAGACGCATGGTATTAAGAAAATACATTTCAAGACAAATCTATACATATGCTTTATATATTCACAAACTGAATATTTTAAAACTTACTAATAGTCAAACTTTAAAACTGTCACCTTCTCCAAAACAACTTTTTTGACACCTGAGGGAGTACCGCTATTCTGTTTGCTGCATGTTATGGGTTCATTAGAAAATTTTGATACTTCAGAAATGGTTCTTTATTTGCGTAGAGTCTGAAATTATTATTCCCATTTGAGCAATTGAAATGTTTTGTTGTCATAGGGAGAGGAGTGCTTGTCTGACTGTTGATGGTGTGAGCATACTGCAGAATATCATCAGTTTTCTGCACTCTGAAAAATGTTTCGCAAAAGAATGCGGCAGAAAGCATGAAGATGCACCTGATTTCCAATTTCACGCTGCCAAAACTGATAGTGAATGTTCAGATAATGAACCAGACATGGGAGAAAATGCGGTGGAATCAGTTGAGCAAGAAGCAACAGCAGACTGCTCAACTTCGAAAAAGAAGGGAAGAAATGATCTATTGCTGTAGTTTCTTTCTAGTAAATTTTGGCCTGGGCTGAAGAAACCTTTCCTCAATCCTTTGTACCGTTAAACCTTTTGCTTCGTTGTACCGAAGAATTATGAAGTTGCCTTAAACTAATGATTGGTTGGTACTCTCTCTATTTCAAAATATATGACACCCTAGCTTTGTCCTAAGTCAAACTTTTGCAAAACTTTGACTTAGCACAAAGCTAGAGTATAACTTTTAGTTCTCTTCTGTTTGCTTTGCTGAGTTGCTGATGTTTATCCAGTTTGCTACTCGGATCAGACGAAGGTTTAGTAGTACAATCAGTTGTGCAGCACCATTTGAAACCTGAATGACGCTATACAGCAACAAGAAGCAAACAGCAAATTGATTGCAGCTGCTGCTGGTACATTGATTGATTGCACTGCCTACTAGAGCACTTTGCTAGGTAGTGTCAGTAGCTAGCTACGCCTACGCGGCGGATGTGTACTTGGAGATGGCCTTGACGCCCTCGGAGATGGCGTGCTTGCCGAGCTCGCCGGGGAGCACGAGGCGGACGGCGCTCTGCACCTCGCGGGACGTGAGCGTGGCGCGGCCCGTCGCCTTGGTGAGCCGCGCCGCCTCCTCCGCAAGGCGCTCGAACATATCCGCCATGAACATGTCCAGCACCTCCATGGCACGCCCCGACACGCCCAGCTCCGGGTGCACGTGCTTCAGCACCAGCCACACGTACCGCTTGTACCCGCCCACGCCGCCCATCCTGTCCTCCCCGCGGGGGCTCAACCGCCCGCGACGCCGCCGTCGCGGTGTCCTCTTCGTCTTCGCACCTCCTCCACCTTGCTCCTGCTTCGTCTTCCTCTCCGACGCTATTGCATCCATGGATGATGCGCGGAGGAGGGTAGGTTTCTTTCTTTCTTTTGGTTTTGGATCAAGGACGAGGAGGGCGATGGTTATAGGGAGGGGGGAAAGGGAAGAGGAAAGAAGACGGGCACGGCATGCGAGCCGACTCCAGCACGTCCACTTTCTATTCTGTTCTCACACGTGATGAACAGATGGGTACGAAATAAGATCTTGTATCAAGTTCAATACTTCAATTGCATGGATTTGCAAAGTCTATGCTTATGAAAAGGAATCCCGTAGTCCAATGAAAGGAAATCAAACGAAAACATAAAAGGTTCAAATATGTACAGACGCTGCCTAATGGTTCAAATATGTAAACATGGAAATGCTTCCTGCATCAAACAAACAAAAATACCTCCAATTTAACATTAGCCACTCGCCGCTTCTGACAAATTGCTGCATCAACTTCCAAATTCCAGGGGGCAGAGAATGCCAGGGCACCACCCAAAAATTGCTCCCACGTCTCCAACTCATGCAGCTACTATTTACAATTACAAATTACAACAGATACTTGCTACTCATGCTGCGCCCGAGGCCCCAGCTGGGATAGCAATTATGAATGAAAGATCCCTCTTCCTAGCACTGATCCTCACCGAGTTTTTCAATCTCTGAACGTAGTCTTGCAACCACAGGATTATCCCAGTGAACTCTGATCCTCCGAACAAAGTCTTGGAACCCACATGGATCACGATCAATGGGAGGTAAATCCAATGGAACCGGAGGATTGAGAAAAGGGTGCTGAAGCAGTTGAGGTATTCTCCATCGTTCATCTCGGTCCCAGGCAAGACACCTTTGCATTAAATCAATAAGCCATGGATTGTCAACTGTGTCATACTTAATCTTGTGGTTCCTATTAGTGACTTCTTTATATTTCGCCCAGAAAGTCTTGTAGTCTGCAAATGGTGTCTTACCAGTTACCATATACCATCCGATAAAGAATACAACCTAGCGACCAAATATCGGAGGGGCATCCACACTTTATAACGTTACCACCTGAGTCCTGATCATTACACATGAATGCTTCAGGTGACATGTAGTTCAGTGTTCCTACCTGCTCATTGTGGGTGAGAAACAGCAATCAGCATGCCAGACAACAGCATCTATAATGCACAAGTCCTGGTATACATGTATGGCAAGGCGTATCTGATGGTACCTGAGCATCGCGTTGAATATTCGTGGTATCATTCATTATAGCTTTTGCAATGCCAAAGTCAATAAGCTTAAGTGAACCCCTCACGAGCATAAAGTTGGCAGGCTTCAAATCAGAGTGCACTATTCGTTCTTCATGTATTGTATTGACAGCTTCAAGTATTTGCTATAGACCAAAGAAAATAATGATGAGAAGACATTGACATCCAATTTTATCATGTAAGTCCAACACCAAATAGCACAACAAGGTTCTAGCTCAACTTATTATTTCAAACAGATCTTATCTGTAAACTGCATTTTTATACAGAAGATAGGTGCAAATGAACAACGGAAGATTCTAGCTAATCACATATAAGCATATGCGGTGATATGGTCGCACACTCAAACTGGGCAATAAGATACAACATGTTATTCAATATAATCCTTTCTTTTAAGGTTTTGCAAATCTAAAACTACTCTGAGCTGAGACCACAACATAGACAACTTGTTGAATAAAGATAGACCAAATAGCTAGCAGAACCAGAAACCAGCTGGGCTAAATATATTTGATCTAACTACTGACCTATTAATCCTAGAAAAACATTGAAACTAGTGACATTAGCAATGAAGGGTAAATACTATTAGGAACAATGATATATGACAATACGTGAAAAGTTTATTCAATTCAAGCACAATTTGAAAAGAGCTGTTTCTACAAAGATTTGAAGATGATAATTTTTTTTCAACACCCAAGAGCAAAACGGGCCTCCTTTAGTTAAGAGCTGAACATAAATCTTAGTTAGAGTGGAACAGAATTATCTAATATTCAAATTCCTCACTTCAGCCTAATTTGGGTAAAGTGAATGTTACCTGCCAATAAAACCGTAGCCAATTTTCTTCTATTTTCATATTTGAGCTATTCCTCTCCTTCCACTTCTGAGCAACCATATGAGCCAAGTCAATTTCCCCATACTCAAGGACCATGTAAATGTAGTGATCATCTTTAATGCTTCCATCCTTTCTGGGTGACATGGAATCTTCTAGGAGTAAACTTTTATCAGTGACCTGGTAGATGCAAAATGCACAGGCAGATCAGATAATCTTTTGAGAGAGAGAGAGAGAGAGAGAGAGATCATCCATATTGATAACTACCAGTCTACCACTCCCTCCATTTCGTAGATATATGATATCCTTGAATAGGCAACCTTCTCTAACTTTGACAAATATTTTTAAAGAAAACTATTTCTACTGGTCATATGGACATAGTACCAATTGGATTTGTTGCGACATATAGCAGTTTCAAATTTTTACTACAATTTTCAGATGTTCAAACTTGCAAATTGGAGAACTTATCTACGTAAAGAAAAAAATCATGTCTTTGGATGTAGGGAATATCAGGTTATGAAAACCAATATGCAAAAAGAACAATTAGATGACAGGTGCATTTTATGATAAGCAATAGTTGCTTACATATTACTCTTGTATACCAACATGGGTTGAAAATGTCAGTCACCACACACGGTTTAACAACTTTATCAAAAAAGACTGATTTATGCAAAGTGTACATTTTTTGTAGATGTATAGATAGTGGTGCTTGTAATAAAAGATTTTGCATATAACAAAGTCATCAGTTGATTTCGAGTACTGAAAGTAATGTAAGAGAAATTTTGCAGGACATTATAAATTTAGGGGTAGAGCAGAGGGCACTAAACATAATGACTGCAGAACTCCTGTACGAGCAATGAAATAACAGAAATACAGAGGTTGCCAGCTAGTAAGTTCTTCTCCTGGCAATGTGAAACTAGACCCAGAAACAGCATTAGAGGGAGTACTGCACAACTGTGATTCATGATATGCATGAATGAGAATTAATAAACACAAGAAACTCAGAATTTTAAACAACACCGGTTTAATTATGCACAAGTGTCTAATGCGATAAACCCTGAAAAGAATTACCAGTATTAAACACGCATGGTGCTTGCATGATAATAAAGATTATTGATACTTTCCATTCATTCTTGTTAATAATGGTCCTACAGCAAATAACAAACAAAGGCTTACAAAAAAATTCTGGGCAGTGGAAATTCAAAGAAAGAAATCCTGGGCAGTGGTTTACTTGGATAATGCTATCATTGTTTAGATGACGAAGCAACTGAATCCTCTTCCTATAGAACACTAAACAAATATATGTATATAAAAAAAGGTGTTTGGAGACAATGCTAGCAACTTGGTACCTCGTAATCAATCAGCTGTATGATATTGCCTTTTCCTTTCAACTTATTTAGGTACTCGATTTCCTGACAAAAGCCATAGGCAGTTGGGTAGTCACGGCCTTTAAGCTTGACCTTTTTCAAGGCATATATTATGCACTCAGCTGATATAACTTTGTGAACCTCACTGCTACCCCCAGAGCCGATTTTACCAAGCTTCTGGTAAAGTTTCCCATTCACCTTAAAGAATACATTGGGATCATAATTCTTCTTACGACGCTCCTTCTCAACCTTGCTAGTCCGGGAACCACCAACATCCCTAGCAGACATAGACTGGTCATTCGACAAACGACTACCAATGCCAGAAACAGCCTTGTCCGTGGACACCATTGTCCACATTCTGAACTTGTTGACTATGGGGATTCCAATCACCAACACCAGTCACACCTGCATGCTGTTTCTGAGGACCATGGTCCTGTACACTCCTACATGATTCTCCCAACAAGCCTCTCTGCGGCTGCATAACTTTTCCTTAGGAGCTCTGCGAAACAGAAGGGCTGTTACCAGGTTTATTTGCACCCTCTCCTCTGGACAGAAGAACTCGGGTCGCTCGCGGAACGTTGGGCTGCATTGAACCTGGGGCAAGGTGAGTCAAAATCAAATAATTACACACCTTTTATAAACCCATTCGGATATGACTACAGTATACATACTCCAAACAGCGTCGCAAATAGTTCCTAGAAAGTAAAACTAATGACAAAGCCGCCGAATCTTGAGATGATATGAAGTTTTCTACAGGGTCCTAGTATCCAAAACCTTAGAAGCTAAAAATATGCTCCGAGCCGCTCAATTTGCACGGTAAGAGCATCAAATTGCACTAGAACCCTAGGTCTGAAGCAACATCCAGAGAAGGCTCGAGCTTGATTCCACTCACCGAGAGGCCTCTGCCGCTTGATGGCGGCATTAACCTGGCTCAGGAAGAATACATTGGGATCATAATTCTTCTTACCACGCTCCTTCTCAACCTTGCTAGGCTGGGAACCACCACCATCCCTAGCAGACATAGACTGGTCATTCGACAAACAACTATCAATGCCAGAAACAGCTGTCCGTGGCACCATTATCTACATTCTGAACTTGTTGATTATGGGGATTCCAATCACCAACACCAGTCACACCTGCACGCTGTTTCTGAGGACCATGGTCCTGTACACTCCTACATGATTCTACCGCAGATTCTTGTATCTGCAATGGCGAAGCATATCGGCTAACCTGTGGAGCTTGTGTACTTCGGACAGTAGGCCCTGAATGTAGTGACACAGCAGTAGATGAACCAATGGCTGAGCAACGGGTCAGTGGCTCGGCATGATTCTGATTACAAGCCTCCTCAATCCCCCGTTCATGCAAATTCACTGCATCATACTTGATATCCATATCAACTGCTTCATCAGCAATTTCAAGATCATGTGGTCCTTGATTTGCCGGAAAATTATCTCTTGCTGTCAATGAAACAGAATGTAGATAAGACAACATGCTGTCCATTCTACTGTCAACAGTGACTGCTACATTATCACCTGCATTGTAAACTGATAATTAAAAGTGGACACAACATTGCATTCATCTATTAAATATAAAGAAAATGCAAGGAATCTTACTCTGTCGACCACCAACTGAAAAGAACTGCTCTTTCTTGAAAGCTTCCCCAACCAATGAATCGTGAGCTGCCATTTGATCTGCTTCACACATCCGGTGGTGGTTCTGACCAACATTCCGATCACAGACATCCGTGATATTTCCCAACGTTGAAGGTGTAGCCAAAGTACACTCATCTGGAGTAGAAAAACCTAATCTAGAAGTGCGGGCAACTTTCTTATGATCAGGTACTGCATTATGCAGTCTGGAGGGTCCCAACAAGCCTCTCTGCGGCTGCATAACCTTTCCTTCGGAGCTATGTGAAACAGAAGGGCTGGCACCAGGTTTATTTGCACCCTCTCCTCTGGACAGAAGGACTCGGGTTGCTCGAGGAACGTTGGGCTGCATTGAACCTGGGGCAAGGTGAGTTAAAATCAAATAATTACACATATTGTATAATCCATTCGGATACCACTGCAGTGTACATACTCCAAACAGCATCGCAAATAGTTCCTAGAAAGGAAAAACTAATGACAAAGCCGCCGAATCGTGAGATGACATGAAGTTTTCTACAGGGTCCTAGTAAATCCGAAACCTTCGTAGCTAAAAATATGCTCCGAGCCGCTCAATTTGCACGGTAAGAGCATCAAATAGCACTAGAACCCTAGGTCTGAAGCAACATCCAGTGAAGGCTCGAGTTCGATTCCACTCACCGAGAGGCCTCTGCCGGCTGCCGCTTGATGGCGGCGTTAACCTGGCTCAGGAAGTCCGGAGTGCAGATCGAGGAGGAGGAGCCCGAGGACGACGACAGGTTGGTGGCCGCCGTGTCCCCGGCGGCGGGGTCCGCGAGGCTCTTGCCGGCGCCGGCCGCGACAGATGTCACTGGGGGCCGAAGGAACCTGCTATCCCTCATCTCCATCGGCTGCGGCTGCTGCGGCGGCGGCGGTGGGGTCCACGGGTATCTCGCCGGAGGCGCGGATCCGGGGGGGCGCTAGGGTTCCCGAACCGGTCCGCGGCCGCAGCGGCTGGACCGGACCCACCGCCGGCGCCCCGGGCTGGGCGTGGCGGTCTAGGCGTCGCGAGGTGCGAGCTGGGAGGCCGCCATGGGGAGCCGCCACGGGGGAGCTGAGGTGAATCGGCGGCGCCGAAGCGGCGGTGGAGGCGGAGGCGGAGGCGGTGGCCCGAAATTTTGAAATGGAGCCAGAATTCGGTGGCCGCCAAGGGGAAGGTCGAGAGTCGAGACGGTTTTCGTTGTCCGAAATGGCAAAAGCACGAATTTTTTACGGAAATATTATTTAGAAAAAAAAGAAATACAAATCTAACGGGCCACCCTAAAAATTTACAGGTCTAGCATCATATCCGCCCGACCAATGGGCGGATAAGCGCCTCCGCGTTGGTCCGAGGCCAATTCCCATCCGCTGGTAGGGTGAACTTTAATCCCACCCGACCAGCGGGCGGTCTTTCAGCGGCGCGTGGGAGAGAGAAATGCCGCCGGCCATCGGGTGGGATTTGAGCGGGATTTGAAATCCCGCCCAACCGTTGGGCGGGTTTTCCCCGTTTTTGGTTTTTTGCCTTTTTTATTGCCTTCGGTTTGCCAAACTTCAAACATAGAAAAAATTTATGAAACGAAGTTCGAAAAATATGAAATTGGGCTAGTTGGAAAGAGCATTCCGAGGACTACACAGTGGTGTAACATGCACTAGTTGGAAATCCACACATTTCAAATTATTCAATTTCAAACACGGCAAGAAATTCAAATTGACTAGTTCATGTGTGCAGAAAAAAATTTCAATAATCCATGGAAAAATTATGTAAATTCACTGTTTGGCCTCTAGTTTGACGCTGTATTTTTTGTTCCAACAGTTTCCATGAAGAATCTTACGCTCCTTTACAACGTGCAAATTTGACCATTTTCCCTGATTTTCAGATTTCGAACTTTAAACACACTGAAAATTGGTCAAACGAAGTAAAAAAAGTACGAAATTAGGCTTGTTGGAAAGCGCATTCCGAGAACTACGCAGTGGTGCGACATGCACTACTTGGAAAGCCACACATTTCAAATTATTCAATTTCAAACATGACAAGAAATTCAATTTGAATAGTCGCTATGGACAGGCCATTCCATCTTCAGGAACTGATAACTACAATCTAGTAGATGCCTTGGAGTCTCGTATCCTGTACCCTTGGTACATTTGATTGATGTGAAAATATTATGGTTCCTGAATGTTGGATTGACTTCATATGAATAGACATATCTGAAGTTGATGAAAAGCAACTAGTGCTCTATGCTCAGATGGCCAATCATGTACACCTGATTCTTCCTTCGTTCGAGCTCGATCTTAAGGAAATTGCACACAATTTTTCTAAGGTAATTCTCAGCATAATGTTCACTAATCATGATCATAAGCCGATGTAGTTTTGCTCCAGTGTAACATTACAATAATTTAACTACTGTAGAAGGTATATATATGCTCAAATTTACATCAGTGATTTTTTATGTACTTAGTCATAGCTGGTTTCTAGTATTATGTTTGAACATATATTACTCTTGTGATATAAATTCAGTTTGTTAGATTCTTTAGATCGTCTAGGTGTAAATCCAGTGGGTGTTTACTTGTATTTGGGATAATCAGTGACTTAGAGATTCAGAGGGAGTAGGAGACAGAGAGAGATGGAGACGTAGAAGCATATGACCGTCGGAGGAGCTCCCTGCCTTCACTGGTTCGTCGGTGAAGATCTGCGCATGGGCAGCGACGGTTGGTGTAGCGGTGGAGACCGGCGGTGGTGGAGCCAGTGGCGCTTCCCGCCGCTGGCAGTGCCTCCCTCTCGATCGGACTAGGGTTAGACGGTGGGGTTGTGGCGGCGGCAGTGAACCTCGTACCAAGAGCCGTTTGGCCCTCCTCCTCTTTATAGGCACTGTGCGACGGGGGCCCACTAGCCACTAGATGGCTGGATGTCCCCGATCAGGACGCGATCAAGGGGTCCGTCTCGACCGTTGGGTCAAGACGGATGAAATCAATTCTAACATTCTCCCCCTTGATCTCAACTCATACTTTAACTTTAAACTTTGACTTTAATCCCTTTCACTTTTATTTGTTCCATCACAGATTAGTGCATAGAGCATGCTTCATTGTCACGGTCAATCACCGATAGACTTAACAGCTACAATACGCATCTCTGTTCTGAAACAGATTCTTTAACTTTTGGGCCTTTTATTGTCCGGAAATCATAGGCTATACCATAAACCCATGTCGACTGTGTGTTCTCCAAACACACTGGGTGGTAAGCCTTTTGTACGCGGATCCACAAGCACTTGCTTGTTACTTTTATGTTCAATACTTTTAGTATGATTTCGGACTTTCTCCCTCACAACGTATAACTTTAACATCAATGTGTTTGACAGCACACTTGACCCGTTGTTATAGGAGCGAACTATTTAAATGGTTATTACTGTTGTATACCATTATTAATTCCGGGTGTAAGTTCTTTTAACCATTTCGTCTGTCCTTAAGCCTCATAACAAGCTATATTGTAGGTATGCATCTTTGATGACATCACAACTGTTTCTTTGGAGCTTTTCCACAATAAAACTCAAACTGCGAGTGTTAGCTACTATGTGGGTTTCACTAAACATTTCGTCAAAATTTAACATTTGTACCCACAACTATTTGAGAGTACTTATTCTTTCTTACTTACCATGAGGCCTATAAAACTTTGCACAATTGCAAAACATTCTCAACTCCATTCCAGTGATCTATATCTGGATTGGACTTCTGCCAAAACATCCCGGATACATGAACTATGTCAGGATAAGTTCTTACTTATAAGCACTCATTAAGCTTCTAACAGCTGAAGCATATAGGACGTCCTTTCGATCTCATATTGATTCTTGGAACACTGAAAGTTCCCAAAACTATTACCCTTTACTATAGGAACAGGCGTAAGTTTATTCACATATATACTTTATTTCTTTAGAATCTTCTCTAAGTATATACTTGAGATAGTTCTAATACCCCTTTTCCTTTTGTCTCGGTAAGTTCCAATTCCTGGAACGAATGACGCTTTACCAAGATCATTCTCATTGAAACTTGAGGACAAGATCTGTTTCTTCTCCAACAGTAGATTAACACCACTACTGGCGAGTAAGGTGCTACCCACATGCAGGATTAGGAAAATAAATTTCCCATGTTTAAACTTTGCATAAATACAATTGTCCTCTACTTCTCTTTAAAACCCAAACTTTCTTATTGTACTTTAAACTTCAAGTACCAATGTCTTGAAGCTTGCTTTAATCCATAAATGGATTTCTTCCGGCAATATCCCTTACATTCTTTTCCTTCCACGACAAAACCTTTTGAGTTATTCCATGCAAACTTTTCTATACAAATCCCCGTTGAGAAAAGTGTCTTTACATCTTTCTGATGTAACTGTAAATCGTAATGTGCCACTAACACCATTATGATTCTAAAAGAATTCTTGCATGCTGATTATAATATATTCTTTCTCTTTGTGTAAATCATTTCACCACAAGTGGCGCTTTATAGCTTTCAATATTCTCTTTTGATATCTTTTTATATTTCCTTTGGAGTCACCTTTGTCTTGTAGACCCATTACAACCTACTGTTTTGGCTCAATTGGAAATTTCTTCTAAGTCCCAAACATCATTGGTATTTATCGATTTCATTTCATCTTCCTTTGCTTCTTGTCATTTAGACGAGTGAACGCCTCTCATGGCTTTTCAAATGAGGTGGAATTATCCTCCATTTGAATTTCTTTCTTATTCATTGACTTCTGTAAAGCTCAATTATCCACATGCTTATTCACTAACTCAAGTATCAAGTATCGATTTGGTTGTCACCGAAATATCTGATTTTCTTATTCTTTGAGACCTTCTAGGGCCTCGTGGCACTTCTTTCATATGGGGCTATTGTTGTTCTTTATTGTCAAAAGACAAATGTTCTATAGCCTCCTGTATCACAAGATTCTTGTTTACTTATTCATCTGCTTTAAGAGCTAACATCAGTTGTTGTATATGTCATACAACATCAACATGTATTAAGCAATTTGTTGCTCTAAAACACTGTAGTGGATATGTAATCCCACTTCTATTCAAGCTTTAGGTATTTTACATACCAAGCTCCCCCAGATTACTCCATCTTCTATAAAGATGGTGTATCTTCAAATTTCTTATTTTTGGTTTAATCTGCTAAAAAAACTCATATGGCGCGTTTAGCACCGCCTTGATAACTCTGAACTCGTCCAGTATAAATACTAGCCGACTATACTATCTTCCTATCGGAACTGTAAAAGGTCCAGGAATTTAGCTATTTCTTTACTTTAGGGATATCATTATTATGACCATCTTACTCCCTCAACGATCACATTCATCTTTTATAGATCACTTTTACCTTCAATGCATAATATGCATTTCATTATCTGAAGTATGAAAAAGTATCTTTTTTAATTGTCTTTCTCTATCTTCCATTTCTCCCCTCAAAATATGGTATAAACTTTTCTACCACAATTTTGAAACATTCTGAACTCTTGTAAATGAGGAAACTTTGATTACTTACTTCATCTACATGATTACATCATGCAAACAAAATTCGTATGGGAGTACATTTTCCTCATTTCACTTCAAAACTCAACATAGTCTATTATTTTCAATACTTCTGCAAGTCACGCTTGCATTTCATTCTTATCTTTTGGTTCACATGCAACTTTCTTTTGTTCTTAAACTCATTGAATACTTAATGACCATGACACAATCAGAGTGTACGGTCAGTACTAGGATAGCATAAGAGCTACCCCAAACTTATCTCCATGTGCTAGATACAGTTAGAGCACATGAGTCATCATATCCTTCTCCGCATGCGGGATAAGTACTATGCTAACTTTACCCCGCCATGTGGGTATTTT